TGATATATTTAGATCTATTTCCCATCTCCTTTTATATGCCAGCCCATCCCCATATGATTCCTCTATAAGGCAACTATAGAGTTTTCCTGCAATACCTTTAGGGAGCTAGGTGGAGGTCTTACAATAACTTTCAAACATTGTGAGGGGGCGTAAAGTCTCTCCTTCTCTAACCAAATATGCTGTAAGGGAGATAATTTGCTGTAGCTGGAGCCATGTGGGTTGAATGGGTGCTAAGGTCTTAAATAGCTCATTTGCTGATTTGGGCTTACCCTTGGAAAAAAAAATCTTGTATTGTATAAAGCCCTTTATTTTTCCATGCACCAAACTAGGAAATGTTGTCAGGACTTTTAAATTTAGGATGCAAAATCAAAAGCCTAATTGGAGAAGGATTGGGAGCTATCAAATAATTCCATTTTCTCCATATCACAAGAGAAGAATGGAAAAAGGGGTTTGCGATATCTTTTACTGATTTTGTAGTGGAACCAAAAAATAATAAGTCTAATTCTGGAGAAAAATCATTTCCAATTTCCACTTCTAATAAATGGACTCAACTGGAGCTGTATTTCTTAAAGCCAAAGTAGATGTGAGAAGGGAGATCTGTGAAATGGATTGTCAGTGGAGGCTTTCAAGAATATATAACAACCACAGCTGGGTGTAGTTGTGGTTGCATCTTTAGGTGATAGCTGCATATCTTGCATTACAGAGCAAATAACAACTTTCTATATGTGTGGCTTTTAATTTAGAAAACAACTCAATCTGAGGAGGGTTTGATTCTTCCACAACCAATGTGATGCCAATTTGAATTGCAACTCCATACCATACACAGCTACTATTGAACTTGAATAATATTGCAGGATGTCTTATTCACATTATTTCTAGTATGGCCTTTGGAATTTTTAACTTCTTGGGTTGAAGACTGTAGGGGTGTGTGTGTGCGTGCATGTTCAGAAGTCCTTAATGGAACCAATCTGAATATTGTATCTTGCGTTTAGGTTCCTATAGACAGAGACAAGCCTGAGAGTACCTTTGTAGTTCAGCTCTTAGGAGATGAATTTCTTCTATGGCAAATGATAAAGTAGTGTGGAAAACATCTAAAACACTAAAGGTTCCTCACCTCTACCAATATGTCCAAGTGATCCCTTTAAATAGTTAAATTAAATTAAGCTCCCTTAGGCTGTTTCTGTGGCCCTCAAACTCTCCAGGTTCTCTGGACCATGCTTTTCCTGTCCAAAGCCCCCAGAAAAAACAATGGCAAACTGCCCCTTCAGAAAGCCTCCAGGAGCAGCACTTCATCTTTCTAATGGCTTGCAGTACCAGCCCACTAAAAAATGCATTTTTTTTCAAAACTAGAAGTGGATTTCTGGCCACATTGAGTTTTACTCCCCTGCTCCCATTGTTATGCAGCTGCCAGAGGGTTTCAGGGCAGAAAATGGGCCTCTGAATCAACCACAGTTGTCCATATTTAGTTTAAATGAACAGAGCCCTCCCTCTTCCCTTGTTTGGGAGCATGTGTATAGAAGCACTCAATCTGCTAGGATCCAACCCCTTCAAGAGTGGAGATGTGGACTCTTTTATTTCTTGAGTCAACTATATAAATGCCAGATGAATGTCTGGAGATCAGCAGGTCATGGGCCACACCTACCTGTCATTCTTGTTTGTTCAACTCTTATTCCAAAAGCTACAGGTGTGGCATAGCTTCTGGAAGATCTGTTTACATCTTAGGCATTATAACTGGGGAGTTGTTCAGGCATTCTGTATAGCATAATTTCCCTAAGTAAATGTTTAGGTAAGAAAAGTTTGTGGATGTTGTTTTTAATTACTGCCAAATTGTCCTTGACCTATAGCAACCCTGATTAAGACTGAATCAGTCTTATTAACAGCCATGCTAAGTTCTTGTAAACCTAGGGCCATAGCTTCCTTTATTGAATCAATCCATCTGCAGTGCAGTCATCCGCTTTTCTTATTGCTTTCCAGTCTACCAGGCATTATTGTCTTTTCCTGCAAGTCGTGTCTTTTCATGATACAGGATGACTCTCCCTTATCCAAAATAGAGAAGTGTTTTGAATTTTGGAATATTTGCACATACATAGTGAAATATCTTAGAGATGGGACCCAAGTCTAAATGTGAAATTCATTTATGTTTCATATAAACATAAAGCTTGAAGGTAACATAATATTTTAAATAATTTTGTGCATGAAACCAAGTTTGTGTATGCTGAGACATCAGAAAGTAAAGGTGTTACTATCTCAGCCACCCATATGGGCAATTTTGGAGTATTCCGGATTTCAGATACGAGATACTCAATCTGCACAGTCGTCCCTCTGGATTCACTGACTTCTTGTTCATGGTTTTGAATTTCCGTGGCTGGGAAGCCAGGAGGGACAAAATGGCACACGCACCCAAGGCACAGCATGGCCATTAAAAACAATGGGGCTCCAATATTTGCGTTTTTTCGAATTCACCGGGATGGGTGGGTCCGGAATGGATCCCCTGCAAATTGGAAGGGATGACAGTACTTCCAAAGTTCAGTCATGTTGGTTTCTAGGGAGGGTTCCATAGTGATTTGCTCTTGGATGCATTTATTTGTCTTCCTGGCAGTTTATGATATTAGTAGAACTCTTCTCTTGCATCACATATCAAAGTAGTTGACTTTCTTCCTATGAGAAAAGTAGGAATGGCAAATTAGTGAAGAAGTACAAGTTCATATTGTCTGAGAGATTTACTGATTGTCAAAATTGCATCACAGGAATAATTCCATTTGCCTTCTTGGTCAATTTTGTAAGTGGTATACAAAAATGCTATTAGAAATAGCCACTGGATATTAGCAGGAATATAATAATAGTGTGGTTTTCTGACTAAGGTGATCTTGTTCTTTGTAAATTTGAATGTATTTACATAAAGATTATGTATTTACTTAAAGACTGATAACTGCGGCTTGCTGCATATATTGATATTTTGATCTTTTGAAGATGGAATTGATTAACTCAGTTTTGAAACTGGAATTGAGAGATTATGGAATTAATGTATAAAATATTATAAAGAAGTTTTGTTGGTTGTTGTTGTTGTTGTTGCTGTTCTATGCCTTCAAATCATTTATGATTTATTGTGATCCTAAGCAAACCTAGCATAGAGTTTTCTTGGCAATTTTCTTCAAAGGGGTTTTGCCATTGCCATCCTCTGAGATTGAGAAACTGTGACCTGCCCAAGCTCACCAGTGGGTTTACATATTTGAATCAGAATTCGAACCCTGGCCTCCAGAGTTGTAGTCCAACACTCAAACCACTACACCACACTGGTTGTCTTATGAGGAAGTTTATCTACTCAATAATGTGAGTGCAAGCAAGTTGCTGGAAATAAAAACCTATTTTTTTAAAAAAAATGAACAGAGGAGTTTACAAGTTGCAGTTGAAATATGTTTCATCTAAATCTAGTATAAATATAATTTTGAAAATAGAATATACCTTTTCTCTTTCTAGAATGAAATGTGCCTGGCAACCCAACAGCTCTCTAAGCAGCTTCTTGCATATGAAAAACAGGTATGCATAGCATTCTGTCTCCATCCAAAGTAACCTTCAGGTTAGGTAGATTAGATGGTAGAGATGAAAAAGAGGATTTACCCAGCATCCTTCAGATATTTGTTTGATTATGCTTGTAGAGGTGTCAGTGGGACACACTCATCTTGGCAGCCAACTTAGTACCCTCCAGATAGTGTTGAATTGCAACTCCCATCAATCTGAGCAAGCAGGGGAATAATTTCTGGCTAATGATGATGGATGTTGCACATTGACACCACCTGGAAACTATCAGGCTGAATAAGTCTTGGTTTTTGGTACCCAAATTGTGTCAAATACTAAGAACCTGTTCTCTTTAGTTGAGATTTTTGCCTGGAGTTTGTATCTGAAAATTTAGATAATTGTTGGCATTGAGTAATTTCTTACTGAAAATAAGTCTCAACACAGTTGTAAATGTATATAGTATGAATGCGGGAGAGATGGGGAGCGTGTAGAAGAAATTGGAGGAAAGGCAGAGAGTCATTGCAACGTCACTGTGATATCTTGAACCCCTAGCTTTCCACTGAGGCAAGGATGGAGCTTGTGTGACTTTCCAGATGTTGTTGGATTGCAGCTTTCAGAAGTCCTAGCGATCATAGCCAGTGGTGAAAAATAGTGGGAGCTACAGTTCAGCAACATTTGAAGGGCTTCACATTTCCCATTACTGCACTAAGGAATGAAGGGCAGGTTCACTTCTTCTTCGACCCTGCCCAGTGAATACCCCCAAGTGAAGTACTTTGTTTTTTACGCATGAGTATCATCCATTTACTAGATGGGCAAAGGAGACATTTCAGGGGGGTGAGGTAGAACTTTTGTTGTTGCCTTCAAGCCATTTCCAGTTTATGGCGACCCTAAAGCAACCCTATTATGGGGTTTTCTATAATTGCTTCAGAGGAGACTGTTGTATGGGCTTCCAGGGCCGGATGGGGATTCAAACCCTGGTATCCTGGAGTCATAGTCCAGCACTCAAACCACTAAACCATACTGACTTTGAGGTAGAACCTGCCCATGGTTGTTCTAGTGTGGAACAGAGAGCTCTTTCCTTAGTCCCTCTTTACTGTAACTGATATTGGCACCTGCTTTACTTTGTCCCATAAAGATCTATGGGAGTTGCTTACTCTTATTTACCTTGCAGAACTTTGCCCTGGGTAAAGGAGATGAAGAAGTGATATCCACCCTTCAGTACTTTTCAAAAGTTGTGGATGAGGTAAGATAACTTGCCAGTGAAGATTTCCTTAAGATTCTCTGTCACTTTATCTAACTGAAGCCTAATGTCTGGATTTACAAAACAGATGGAGAAGAAGAAAAGAGCTGTTATTGCTTTGGAAAGTGGCATAGGAAAGGGCAAATTATTCTGCTGTCAAAATGGTGAATAGATAAAAAATGGCAGAAGGGCCTGATGTTCTATTTTAGCAGTTCTTAATTATATTTTCATAGAGGTCTTGGGGCACCTAGATCTACAAATTTACTATGTCATAATGTTGTGTGGTCTACAGACCATTTTATTAGATAAATGAAATATTAGTGGATTCTATTACCATTTGACCAACTATATGGGAAATTGCTTTCCCCCTCTCTTCCCCATTAATTTGTCTATATCTATGTAGTGTGGTGCATGATGATTGAGGATAACTAGGCCTTCATCTACAAATGTTTATGCCATAATAAATTTAATTAATTTTAAAGATATCTTCTTGCTGTGGAAGACTGACAAGGTTACTACTATGGAAATTTTTTTAGTTGTGTGCCTTCAAGTCATTTCTGACTTATGGCAAACCTATCACATGGTTTTCTTGGCAAGATTTGTTCAGAAAAGGTTTGCCTTTACCTCCCTTTGAGACTGAGAGAATGTGACTTACCTGAGGTCACCCAGTGGGTTTCCATAGCCAAGTGGGGATTCGAACCCAATTCTCCAGAGTCCTAGCCCAGTGCTCAACTACACCACACTGGCCCTCTATTAATTCTAGGCAACTTAAAATAACCACAGAACAGAGTTTGGAAGGCTAATTTTAAAAAATATGTATTTTTTCCATTGCTAGTTACTGCCAAAGAAAACTGCTAATATTGTTACATTATTTACTTCTCTTTACTCAGAAGTAAACCAATCATTATGTTACATGTTAGCACTGTATTATATTTTAAAATATTTATGTGCCTTTAAGTCTACATATGGTGGTACTATCCTAGAGTTTTCTTGGCAAGGTTAATTATTCAGAGGAGGTTTACCATTGCCTTCCCCTAAAGCTGACAGGGTATATCTTGCCAAAATTTACCTAGTGAATTTCCATGGCCAAGTAAGGATTTGAATTTTTGTCTCCCTGAGTTCTAGTCCAACACTCAAACTGCTACACCACATTGGCACTACATTTTATTTGAAAAAAAAATTCTGTAAATTATTTTTTCTAAAAACAACAACAACAACCAACCATCCTGAACACAACATTTTCCCAACTCAGCCACCAAAAGTACCATTTTAGAAGCAAGGAGTAAACCTTAGTCATGGAACTAAAAATAGAAAGTCAATACCAGTTGTAAACTTCAAAGGAATTATCCACAGTGCAGAATGTATTCTAGGGCTGTGGTGGTGAACCTATGGCACGCGAAGCCATTTTTCCTGGCACATGGAGGGCGGGAAAGAAGAGGAACAGGCACGCCTCTCCGGAGATAGGCACACCTCTCCGGAGACAGCTGAAGGCCTGGGGAGAGCAAGGGGGAAGAAGAAGAACAGGTGCATGCTCTCTTCAAGCCTTCAGCTGTCTCTGGAGAGGCAGCTGAAGGCCCAGGAGGAAGAAGTCCCACCCTGGAAGTCCCCCCAGAGGGCAGAAGTCCCACCCTGCAAGTCCCGTCTCCCAGAAGTCCTGCCCATCCTGGCACCGGGTAACTCCCAGTGCCGGAACGCCTTTTAGTTTGGGCACTCAGCTCCTAAAAGGTTCACCATCACTGTTCTAGAGGATAGGTTTCATAACCTCAGATTGTTCCTTTAAAGTTCAGACAAAAATAAAAGGAAAATTCCACTGACATGGAAGATATAAACCATAAATTTTAACATCATTGTTTCCAAGCATTACTTGAAATATGGCCCAATATATTTAACATTTACAATATTTTGCCTTCTTAAAATAGCTGTGGGTGCTTTTCTTCTTGACATTTGGGTTAGCGTCCAAACTTCGTAAAGCTGGTTATAAGTCCCCCTAGAGTTCTTGTTTTGACCTTTCTCAGACCTCTCTTAACCCTTATGTATTAGGATGGGGACATTTCAGTCCCCCTGAAGTATTTTTTGTGGGGAATCCACACAGGAGTAGACTTACAATATAGACATTTTGAAGAATTGTAACTTGCAAATTCCAGCCACTTAATATGTAACAGTTTTTTTTCTGAAAGCCCCTGAAGGCGGATAAATAAAATGTCATTACTTTTTTAGGAGTGAAGCAGCGTATAGTATGAGAGAAAGTGAAATAGGCCATTCTGACAAGATTTCTCATGTAGCTAAATACCCTTCAGGGGAAACTTTTCTTCTGTTTGCAAACCTGTGCACATAATTGCCTCTTGATCTCCTCTTCATACCTTCATTTATGTCCTTGCAGTACAACCAATGACAGCTCTTAAATCTGGTTTTAAATTGAGTCTTTTGGAATACACAAATTTCTGCTTTCAAAATATTCCAATGGCGTCTCCTCTCTCAATTAATGTCTTCGGCTTGTAATGGGCTGGATGAGGAAAAACAGATTGAAACTGAATCCCGACAAG